TGGCATAACATAGTACACAAATCATTGTTCCACCTTCTACTGTGGCTAGTAGCAACTGAGATCTTAAAAGCTTGCAAGTTGCCATCTATGTGAAACGATGGGTCTCTCCTCGTCCGGGGCCAGGAAGAATGAAGAAAACCAAAAATTCATGGAAACCATCAGTCCTAGCAACTGTTACACCATCCAATCTGCAGCCTATACAACTATGAGACCAGAAGAAATAGAAGGTGCTCAGCTACTACTGTCAACCACTTGGAAGAGGATCTTTATAGGAGATCCTGGATAGACAGGGGGAACAATGTGGAACAAAACCCAAAATCATTTGGAAAAAAAAAAAGCGGGGAACAGATTTACTGGCCCGATGGAGCCTGGTGGAACCACTAAGACTATGGCCTCTAGCTGCCCTTCAGGTCTGGAATTGAACACACACATGTAGCTTCCAGCCAAGCAATAGACAGGCATACAGGTTGAGCATTTATCTGAGGTAGATACACTCCTTGGAGAGAACAATCAAGAGAGAAGAAGGGCTGCTCAGGCACAGGGAGACAGCTCAGGGGGTAGGAGTGCATGGAGGGATGGCACAGGGAAGAGGTATCTATCGGAAGAAAGTGGGAGAGGAGATGTTGCATTGTGCTAAATTGTAGTCAATGTCATGAGACAAAGTGTATGTGATCTGCTGTATGGAAAGTGTATTTGCTCTATACATTTTCACCCAAATCACAATAAAAATAAAAATTAAAAAAAAAAAAGAATCTATGTGCTTGTTTGCGGTTGTAACTTCAAACAAAAGTCACTGAACCTCTATGCAAAGTCAATTATTGTTTCCTTCAACCATCTTCCTTTAATTCTGCCAAACATCCCATCCCAAAGAGATTTTTCAAAATAATTGTATATTTTGAAGTAACCTAAGACTCACAAGAAATTCTGAAAATAGTATAGAAACTTCCCATCTATCTGTTACGTAGCTTACCCCAATGATAATATCTTATGTAACAACAGTAAATTGTCACAACCTGGAAATTCATTTTGGTAAAACACTCTTAACTCAAATTAAGAAGTATAGGAGTTCTATGAATTTATCCATTGTTATGTGCACTCTGCATGTGTGTGTGGTTCCATGAAATTTTATCACATGTGTAAATTCAATCAGCCATCACCTCAGTCGAGATACAGAATTGTTCAGTGAACACAAAGGAACGGCCACTTGTGGTTCCTTAATAGTCACACCTTTCCCCTGGCCACTGCTGCTCTGTCTCTTCAACATTATCATTTTGTCACTTCACAAATGTCATAGGAATGGAATTTTACAGTATGTAACCCTTGGAGACTGGATTTTTTTTTTCACTCAGCATAATGCCCCTGGGAGTTATCCAAGTGGCTACATGCACCAGTAGTTCAGTATTTTCCATTGCTGAGTAGTACTCTATTGTGGAGATGTCCCACACTCTGTTTATCCATTTGCCCATTGAAGGACATTTGGCCTGTTTTCAGTTTGTGACAATTATAAATAAAGCTGCTGTGAACATTCCTGTACTACACATTTATTTGTACTTTAGTGATAACATACTACAGAATATTCTACAACTTGCTAACATTTATGGAGAGCTACTGTGATACCAAATGTCTTACGTATATACTAGACTCCTCACAACATTATCATTATAACACCAGCTTTCAAATGTGAAAGATGGGGCCCAGGTAGGTTATGTAACTTGCCCAAATCCAAACAGTAAGGGGCCCAGTATTTGAACCCATGCAGTATGATGCCAGATATATGCTCTTAGACACCAGGCCCCATTCCCTTTCTAAAAGATGATAATATATATTTATCTATGTCAGGCATAGTGTTAAGGACACAAAAATCATTACCTCCTTTGATACAATA